AATTAACAAGGTCAAAACATGACTCAAGTAGAACGAATAGAATGGAATGTCCGGAAACTAGAATAAGATGTATTATGGGCTAAAACTAATGACTAACTCTACAAACATTGTAGGCTGAATTTTAAACGGCAAGACATTGAATTATTTGTTGTACACAGCAGTCCAGAATGTGTAGTGAATGACTTCTTCCTATGTAGAATTAAATCCTGGCTAAACAGGTGTAAAAACTTTATTATAGGTAACCTGGATGAGCCATCGATAAATTTAAGGAACATAGAATTATGGTGATTTAAAACATCGTTTCACTGTAAGTTGTTAGAAACTACAACCACCCTGGCTTTATCCCTACACACAAGAAATCCTACCAGATATGAACTACACAGGTTATTCTCCCTCTTTGATCGAGCCATAACATAAGGCAATGATCTCAGCCGAATATCCTTACTCCCACCCATAGGACAAAGTGATCATGGAATCATCTTAACCAAGTTCATGACTGATATAGTCTGTCAGACAGTCAGCCAGTCCTTAGGTATGGAAGGCAGACATTGGTGATCACCTCTGCGACCTCTGCCAAAAACTGTTCCCGATGCTACCACAACTTGATGATGTAAATATTTGGCGACAATTAACAGGAGACTAAGCTGTATTCACATTTCAGGCGAACTTAGACGTTCTGGTTAGTCGGTCTAAAAATGGCTCATACATATTTGTGATACAAAGGTAAATAGGTACAGTATGGAGGAAGAGTCGGAGCTCGTAGTCCGGTTTCTTTATGATCTTGGGGTGACAGTGAATTATGATCTTAAGACCATGGCCCACTGCCACGAGGTCTCAGATAAGGGCTTTAGAATCCTATGGGCTTTAAGGCGGGTGAATATGCCACAGGTATTCGGAGTTTGACAACGCTTTATTGAGTAACACCTTATAATATGAAGCATACCCACCAGGTGAAATCAAAAGACAGAAGCGAGGAGGCTCGAAGATATATTTGATAGGCTATAAATATATCGGGGATCGTTTGATCTAATCTGGATCGCGATCGCAGAGGTTGTTGAGCGCGACGTTCCCACTCGTGATCTGGTGCGGATGCCTGACCGAGCGCCTTCAGCTAGGTGAGTCCATTAAAAATAATGTGGTCAGCATCCAATGTCGAAAATTTACAGAGCTATTTATTTTGGAGATTTATTTACCGCTACACGGGTATTCATCAAGTTATACACTAATATGTTCATTACAGTAATCACAAATGGCCGCATTCTTACAGTTGAAGAACATATGGAACTCATACAACTCTCGGCCAAGAGCGAAGACAGAATATTCAATACGAATGTTAAACCAGTCCTACTGTACGGAGCTGAAACGTGGAGAACTACTAAAACCATCATCAAGAATGTACTAGTGCTTAAAAACAATCGTCTACGTAGGATACTCAATATTTGTGGGCCGGACACTATCAACTACAACCTACTGTAGGAGAGAACGAACCAACTTCCAGCTGAACAGTAACTGAAAAAGAGTGTTGGAAGTGGAAAGGGCACACAAGAATCATCAAACTGCATCACGAAGCAAGCCGTAAATTTGAATCTTGAAGGGAATCGGAAAAGAGCATTGCCGAAGAACACACTGAGTCGGGAATCGAAAGCAGACATGAAAAGAATGAATAGCAATCGGAAAGGATTGCTTAAGACAGGGTTGGATGGAGAGCGTTGGTAAGAGGCCTATGTTCCTCCACGAGGAAAAACAGGCGTAAGGATGTAAGAAAGTTTAGTATTCATAACCTTGGTGTAACTGAAACTTGAAAATTACAACCAAGGTGCTAGCCACTGCTTAAAAAATTACTTGTACATCCTGGAAAAAGTACAGAGTGGAGCTAGCTGTAAAATCCCAGAACCCCGGGGTTTACCATACAAAGAGCAGTTTGAGAAGCCAGATCTATTTACTCTGTCCTTGAGTAGATTAAGAGGTAATCTGATTTTGATTTATAGAATAATGTGTAGTTATTTTGGTCCACATATATCCTCTTTTTTCTTCCTAGCGGATCAGGCCAACACAGATATCAGTGTAGGCGAGTACAAAATTTAATAACGAAAAAAATACCTCTACCATATAGGTTTTCATACCGAGTCATCAACTCTTGGAGCATATAACTACAAGAAGTGGTGTCCATCCCTTCAGTTGATCCATTCAAAAGGAGTCTAGACACTCAGAAGCTTACTAGAAAAGGACTGACAGGCTGTAGGCCCTGAATACACAACTCTGAACCTAAAATTTGTCCAGTTACTTCTATGTAGTGTATATATTTATTCAAATGATTCATCACTGATGGCATTTAAGTTCTCAGACCGAGTATAAGTAATTCTGGCGTAGCCCGAATCATTAAATAAGACAGTTAGGCCAGACAAAATAGATTGTGTTGAACTTTACCACGGCCTCCTTTTTGTACCTTCGTAGGCTGATTCAAGGTCGGTAAGACCATAAGAGGTGGCTTCTTCAACCTCCCGGTAACCGGGGGATTTGTTATATATATAAGTTAGAATGTTCCACATGTGAAAACCCACTGTCTCGTGTTTTAGTAATCTTAGGAATTTTCAAATCTAAATGCAAGCTTAATGCCTGGTTTCCTGCTGTTGTTTGCAATAATTTTGTCAATTATTTTGATATCGTTGCTTTGAAAACAAAGTGCGGATTTGTTACTGATAGATTAAAACCAAGCACATAAACCTAAGTCATTTGATCCATCACATTAAAAGACGACAATTATTGTCTGGAATTTAAACTCCAAGGCTAAGCGGAATTGTTTCCAAATGTCCATAGTAAAACCGGAAATGATAAGAAATAAGTCAAGAGTCATTAACACTCACATTCCGATACTACAGATTAAGAATGTGAATGACTGAAAACTACTTCAGTGGTACATAAATCCGTATGAAAGAAAATAACTGACTTTTCGTTATGTTGCTCAGACAGGGTGAACTTAGGATATGGAGTCAAATCCTAATGATAAAGAAACTAGAATTGTTAGATTTGATGTAAAAACTCATAAGCAAACGTTAACAAAATATTTGCCGGTAAAGTTGCTTAGGAGGACTGTCACGTATGCTGCGATGACACGTGAAGTATAGTTTCTTGGCCAAGTTGTTTTATGTTGGGTACCTAAACTATTAGACAGGAATTGCACTTTTAACACGAGATAGAAATAACGTATAATAATATTGTGATGTGATTTTTTAAACGTTTGTATACTCTTATTTCATATGCGACTCTGATTTCAGATGTCTTTGAATGTCGTTAACCAGCTCATATCACAATTGACAAGCCATGGGACATTTAACCAGGTTTTCAGAGGAATCCAAGCTGTTTCAGTAACAGATAATTGCCTGACGTGTAGGTTCAAAGTTACGACTTCTGAAGCCAATTCACTAAACACTTTACATGGTGGATACATCCTTGGGGCTATCGACTTTATAACTTCTGTCGATCTGATGAGATTAGGGTGTATGAAGCACGTCAGCGTTAATCTTGAAGCATCGTAAGTCATTGTGTGCGTATATATTCTAACCGAAATCACCGAAGATTTATAAACCCGGGAAAACTGGACTCATGGATTAGGTCAGATTCATATGTACTAAAGAAAGGGAAGCGTATGGCCTTCTGTGAAATCAAATTCGTGAACGAACAGTCAGGAGAACTAGTTGCACGTGGAACTCATACGAAATACATAATAGACGAGATAAACTTATCTCCTAAGAAGTAGTATTGTTAACCTCTCGTTTCTTCGATCCTTCTTTTGCTTTATGATATGTCACGGTTTGTTAGAATAAATAAGTTGGGTGTTTGCTTCTTCAGTCGAAATTTTATATAGCTGATTGGTTGTACACTTATAAGTCAAGTTGTTACCATTCATAATACGTCAAAGCCTATGTTTTGCTGTTAAACTCAGCATCTACATTTTACTCATAAAAGGGAATTTATATTAACCATTTTCATAATAAGCATCACACATATTTCACTTTTATAAAAGTGTTGATATATACGTATTTTTACGCATCCACCCAGAGTCCAGATATGGCAAAAGCATAACTATAATTCTTGTCTTTACAGGAATTACTGATGTATGTGAGATGGTTTCTTATTACAGAGGCGAAATTCTGGTTGTTTTGTACCCGGTGAGTGTAAAATGATACGAAGGACTGGTGCGCTCATATACTTAGCTTGATGATAGAAAATAGACCTGTTGATTACTTCCAATTTTTTATGTTGCGTTAACTAGTTTACACTGTATACGGTTTTGGTCAATCATTAAAAAACATGTCTCACTTTGAGCCGTCCACCCAGTAGTTGTAGAGTATAGGAGCTGGACATAGATCTAAGGTGCAAGTATTTAGTTGGTTTTAAGTTATCTCACAAATGTGGTAGAACAACATCAATCAGACGACAGCTGTGCGTGAGAAGCGACTTAGCCAGTGTGACTGAGTAGTCCGTTATGCTTATCGTTACCAATCTACTCGGACGAATTACGGTTACTCGTGTGAAAAACCGGCACCACTCATTTACACCTATTCCCGGTTTTGCGTACGGCAAATTTGCAGGCCATCAAGAAAGTTGGTGTTCATTAGACGATTCAAAACCTATCAAGTGTTTGAATTTGCCCACTCCCCCATTGCTTAGTTTTTGAGTAAACTTCCACTATTCTAGATGAATAAAGCAGTGGGCCCACATATTCTCTGTCCAAAAATCCCCTGCCAGACATGTCTGATTTCCTCCCCGTGTTAAGACAAAAGTTACTTGCATTGATATTACAAAAATATGCTGTCGTAGCTTGTGTACACAATATTAGTACGGATTATGAGTGTACGTCAAAAGTCCCAATGACAGCTAGCACATTAAAAAAGTAGTTTACACAAGTTTAATACGCATTTATTAAGAATGCAAAAATGTAACTGAAGAAAAGCAGCATCGGAGCTGCTCAGACTGTACAAGGATTGTTTAATTCTGGGCTACCACCGATTGTAACCAGTCCATGGTGGTTTGCTTCGAGAAGGGTCTTGTCGGGGATATTTTCTCATATGGTCAGGCGGTTGACCACCAGGTCCCATTGGAGGTGGACGTTTATGCGGAGGGACAAAGTTAGGAGGGAGCGGATGTCGAGGATCAGGGTAAAAATCTGGGTGTGGCGGCCTGTGTTCTCGCGGAGGACGTCTAGGTGGACCCTGGGGATAGTCTAACCGATCAGGAGTGTTTCTGTTATCTGGCCATCTCCTACCCCAACTATCTTCATCATAGTTCTGCCTCATCGGTGGAGGTCGATCACCCCTTCGGTCGTAAGGATATTTCTCCATATTAGGAGAAAATGGTCGACCCCTTTCTCCTGGATGCATTTGATCGTTAGGAATCATATTACGATTATGATGGCCATACGATCCACTGTTGAAGCCACCAGGAGGTCCATTAAAGTAATGGTCATTTTCAGGAAAAGGCCGGTTAAATTGCTCGCTGTGTTCATGATCTCTGTAATCTCTGTCTTCTCTATGCCTGGGAAATGGCTTTGATTCCAAAAAGTTCTCTTGTTCGTTATACAGTTGCGGAGGCCCACTGAATGGCTCGCGGTATAGATTGTTTGGTTGTTCTGTTTGTAAAGGTGCGTTGTGTTCAGTTTGTAAAGAGAGTTCTTCATTTCGTTGATTCCAGTCTAATGATGGGTCTAAAACAATAGTTGAACGCAATGCGATTCGTAAGCACAGAAATAATAATACAAATTTCCTACTTTTTATCTATTAAGCTAAGCAGATATCATACAGATAAACTTACTCGAGGATCTGTAAAACTTTATTATGTAACATTTGAATACAATATGAAGAATGAATGCAGTTCAGATCATGAATTACATAGAACTTATCACCTAGTACCAATCCCGAGAATAGGAAATTTTTTAATCACACTAAACCACAAACAAAAGCAGATTACACCCCAGTTATCTACTGGTAGGGGAACACTCAGTCTCATTACCATTTGGCAATAACCGTCCTATCTCATACATGGACAAGCTGAATGGTGATATGCTTAAAAAAGCTAAGATAACAAAAAGTACCAACACATACCATGTACTAAAAATATTCTGCATTGTTTTATTTGTACTACCTAAACCTGTGTTCATTTAGTTCGGTTGTTTATTTACTTTGAAGAACTGGCTTACATTAAGTCACGAAACTTCAGAAATACATTTTTTCTACTCATTGGGATATGACAGAGAATATATTTATTAAATATCATGTTTGTAATTTTAAAGATTACCACTGCAGGTAGTTCTTGGTGTGATTTAAAAAGTTAGCTACCCTAGTCGAAACGAAACTAAATGGCGGTAGTCTTATAAGTAAACTAAACAACATCTGGATGCATAATTCCTAGTTACTTTTGTCTCACTTGGTGTTTTTTATTTCTTGGTACCTTGAGGCACGAAGCAACGCGCTTTTGATGGTCTAGTGTTAGTAATGAAAATGAATCAAAAACCTAGTTACCTTTATAGTGCAAGCGGGGATTGTTTCAGATTGTTAAGATTTGGATAATTACATTACTTGAAGTAGAATGGGATCGATAATATTATATGACAAACCATTTTGTCAGATAATATAAAAATTCAAAGTACTCACTTGTATTATTTCTGAGGTCTACATTATGTTCAGGAATCGGTACATGTTGTTCCAAAACCCTCGGTGGCAGTGGTTCTGAGAAAGGTGGTTGGTCATACTTATGAGTGGAAACGCCATTGTTCATCTCACTAATTGGTTGCTCAACAAAGGGTGTTTGGTTGGGCTTACAAAAACCTCTGTCTTGTATTTGATCTACGATAGCTTCAGGTTCTGATGGGTTGATTGGGGCAGCACTTTGCGCTAGCCTTTCTTTATTCAAAGCGGGTGGTTTAACTGGAGGCAAATACTGCGGCGTTGCATTTAGATTGCTGACAGCAGCAGCCGCCGCTGCGGCTGCAGCAGCGATTGCTGACGGACTCGGTGTGGCCATCATTACAGTTGGCATTGCTGTGATCCGTGTACTTGCCCAATTGGCAGCAAATTCCTTCGGAATAGTCCGAGAACTCCGGAGTTTGTTTTTCTCACGCTCTTCAGGATCATCAGTATCAGTTATGTTTAAGTCTGTTACCGGTCCTTCATTAAGTCCGGGTATTTCAGTTGTGCTCAAGTCATTTGGATTAGTAGAAAATGCTAAATCATCAAGAGTATCTATCCGGTTGGAGGAGATAGGTGTCTCCGTGAGTAATTTAAACAGGTCAATATTAAATGAATTATCGACTACTTCTGGGTCTCCAAATGAATATGTGTTAGCTAATAAATTTGTTGCACTGACGGCTTGAACAAGGTTATCTGGACCAACTGCACTAATTGTATCTTTGAGAACATCACCTGGCCGATTGCGCGTCCAGAATTTTCTAGAAAGCAAGAAATGTTAAGATTGAAAGCCCTGAGTATGAAAAAATTGATAATATTAACCAATTTAAACGTTAAACACGATTGACTTCGCTGCTGGGTTGTTTGCACTAACTAGAACATACTTTAAAGAGACGAAAGTTACCAGAAGACGAAAACAGTAGAGTATAGACGCAAATGAAATGAAGGTTGTTGCAACAAAGAATTTAAAAGTTAAAGAAAGTACATGAACGGTTTAAATATGTTCATTATTTGTAGCTACATAAAAAAACTCCCATTTTATGAGCTTTTATGTTTTTCTTCAATTGATTTTTTAACCCGCCACCTGAGTTGTCTTGAGATAACTAGCTAGGAAGCTTACATATCCATTACAAGACGAACAGCGAAGTTCTTGCAGTGTGATGCATTGACTATTTCACTGCTATCCACCCATCATCGAAAGAGAGAGGGATTGGTTCAGTTACATAACATATAATTATGAAGAATACAGGAACTTATTTAACAGGTTGTTCGGCATTGTACACCAATTATATATAGCTAATCTTAATCCGTAGTTAAATCAAATGTACACTACATCCAAAAGACTTTGATCGAACAAAGATATATAGGAAGTAACTAACTAATTACTAGGAAATATCAGTTAGTAATTAAACATTATTCTTAATATCAGAAAAAAGTATGATCCTATAAATAAAGACATTGTTACAAGCTGTTTGAAACTGAGAATTCTATCCTGGTCTTAATCTCCACCTACCTCGACGGGCGATGTTGTTTGGTGCAAAGCTAGGAGCGGCCAATCCAAGACGTGTCACCGATAAGCGCATGAAGTCATTGATGATTGAACTGCGCCATGTTAACACGTACGGGCTACCTGATTGGGATTTGCGTGATTATCGTAACCAATGGCTAAACATTTTAGACATGCCTCAAAATCGTTTGCAGTGGTGCAGATGCATTCATTTTTTGTCTTTTCTTAGATCCCAAATATCTAAATTCATCAATTTATATTTTCTTGAATCGTATCTTCGTTGCCTAATCTTTTTTATTACCACTAATATCGTCACTACCCATACTAATATGGGATCTGTGTGAACAATTTCATCTCGTTGTGCTAATGTAGTATGGAAATTTGAACCGGTTTACACATATACCAGGTTTTAAACTGACTCTGATCTTATTAATCTGATCAAGTCACTACAAGTTACAATGGTATTTTATCGCATAAGAACTTTAAGTGATGAATCATATAATTTTGAAAAGTACTTACGTGGCAAAATCATTTGCCCCAGAAACTAAAATATGTCCAAACGGATGCCAAGCGAGACTCCAAATCATGCTTTCATGAGCGTTGTCTACAGCTCCAAGTTCAGTATCCGTCCTATTTTGGCGAATATAATATAAATTTTAAAACCAACAAGCTTTACAAACTATTAATATATAAATTAGTCACTGCATGTAATTACTTCTCACTTAAGTTTAACAGATAATAACTGGTTGGTGCAGTTAAAAACGTCTGAAATAGTATAGTACGTATACTATGCAATAACTATTGATATAAAGCATTGGATTTTGATAAGTGAATTGTAATTTAGACTGACAGCTCTGTATAAACAGCATTTTCTTAGTCTAATGCTTACAAAGTTACATTATAAATCATTTATAGTATGCTAGACTGTCAAGGGGTTAACTACAGAAGCAAAGCAACAATTGTTCGTGCTGTAACATGACGAAAACACAATGTAATCGCAGGAAATCAAGTATTACTCATCAGAAACTTTATGGGCGAGGTTTCACAGTTGTGTTTCAACTTGATTTTTTAGGAGAAACAGCTTCTGATAACTCTTCCCGATGATAAACCAACAACTGGAACTACTGGTTTTTCAACCGAAACACATTACTAGTACACCTCGATATATTTGGTACATTTTTCACTCAAACAACTGTAGTTCTCCAATCGGAACTAAACCTATGAACACCGTTGTTTAGACTCTTTAAGCCAACTCAGGTTTCCGTTTGATGATCTTCTCTTACAAAAACCAAATACATAAAAAACAAAATGCTTAGTTCCGAGTCAATAATTACATTTACTAAGTGGCATTGGAGTCATGCATGGTATCAGAGATAATCAAAATATCTGATTTTTAAAAGCTTAAGATTATGTGGTTTTGTATTGCAGTTTATACTGCTGAAGTATAGTATGAAAAGTCGCTGACAAATAAACGTTAAAGAAACAACAAATACTTCAGGAAAAGTTAAAATCGCTGAGAAATTCACATTCTCTGCCTTAAATCTGACCAATTTTATGGATTACTAATTGTAGAACCTTACGAAGAATTATTGAAAAGAATATTCTTCGTTCACATAATTGTTTTAAAAAATTAAAGGACTTACCCAGCGAGCCAGTAAAAAATAGCACCATCAGCACTACCACTTACAAACAAGGATTCATGAAATGGATGCCATGCAACACGCATGACATCACGTTTATGACCCCGAAAAGTTTGTAACTCTGATTTAAGATTGCGTAGATCAAATAATTTAATCAAATGATCTCTGGATGCAGTTAAGAACCAGTTGCCATTATCATTCCAAGAAACATCTGTACATGTATTTTTATGTACATACCTATAAATGAACCATGTTAAGTGTAATTAGTGATACCCATATTTTTGTTTCGTATATTACCGATGTATAAAAAAAGTCAAATTGCTCAGAAATATTATAAAACACCTAGTCAGTGTGCAACTTTGAATTAGGAATCTGTCTCAGTTCAAGTGAACTTGTTCAGAACAGGTTTACAATGTGACCTACTAGAGGTTAATCCCGAAGATCCTGTGATCAGATACTTGTGACAATACATACTTCCACTGGAACAAAAGAATTTTGCATAATCATTGCCCACACAGTTTCAAAAAATATCTTGGTTGACCACCATACAGTTAAACGAAAAGTATTTATTTAGTTACTCAGAAGTATACTTTGTTACGTAAGGCTTTCATAATTGGGAACACTTCCTTAACGCGATTTCTATCAATGACAGAATTAGATCATAATAAGCCTTTTTACCAGAGACCATATGAACTAAACCAAACAGGGTACATATCAACAGTTCAGCAAATACTTAATAGCACCTTTTGCACTAATTCATTGAGGGAAACCTGGAAATTATGATGTAGACTGTACTATGATAACAAACAACCCTAAATTCCAGTAAGCGCATAGTAATTCAATATGAAGGCACTAATCTTTAAAACCCAAATCCAAACCCCGTAAAATGAGATGAATAATAATCATATCGTGTTGGTCTACAATTAAGCTTGATAAAATACCATATCAGTCATCAAACCTAATCACTGATCACAGGTCATTTGGTTTTAAAAATAAGGGATTCGGAAATGTTAGCGGATAAATGTAACTATTACACCTAACGAAGTGAGGGAAATATTAGTATCCCGAATAGTCAAACTTTTTTGTCTTAGAAATTGTTTAAAAATAAGCATATCAGTATCTCGGTAGTGGCTTTGTTTATTTAGAGATAACTTACAATGTAGATACAGATTCGCCTGTTTTGGGATCCCACAATTTGATAGGTTGCTGTGCATCTTTGCTACCAGATATTATAAGAGAAAGGACAGGATGCCATGCTACACTACGAACATCAGAACCGTGACCTAAAAGAAAAATATATGTTTCGTATGTTTTACTACACATAGAACCTATATTATGTCGCAGTAGATGGTAACACTATCTCTACTAAAATGAACACTTATTGAGAAAGAAGTTATATAATAAATAAAATGAACGTTTATTGACAAAATAATGCAGCTGAAAATTTAGAAGTTAATATTAGAGGTCAACTTTAGAAACGAGCAGTTGGTAAACAGAGGATCATTTGGTACATTTTGATCTGAAAAAACCAACTGGATATTCTCCCCAAAAATTAAGTAGAGTGGACAGTTAAAACTGATATGTTAGATCATAGACTGTGTTGTAGCATAGAGAAATCAAAGCAACCATAATGGGTACATAAATATGATCGTATGGGAGAATAATTAAGCATCATAGATGGTCTTTTTTAATTATTTGAAGCACACATCCATCTCCTTTCATATTCCTTTCTGTACCATATTTCATGGTAAAAACTCATCAAATTTGACTTTGTATGGTGGACTATTCAGTTTTACTGAGTTAACATTTGAAGCTGAACATTAGACAATTTTATGGTTTATAAACTGAGAATCCAACGAAGATATTGATGGAATTAATTCTAGTGGATATTGTTCTATCCGTGTCATTCACCTTTGTCGTGCTGAAAATGTTTTGAACATCAAGATGATCCAAGCTAAATAATGAAGGGATCATCATGGTGAAAGCATACCCAACGGAAGTTCACTTCCTTATAGTCTGAGGTCGTCTGAAATGCATGTAGAACGGTTTACTAAACGTAGTTAAAAGTATGAAACTGTTTTCGTCTAGGTGTTCTTTGCTACTATCTTAGAAAACACCAAGTCAATGACAACCTGACTGAGAGAACATTCAATGAACAAGGACATCTGTCTGTTGTTAATTACTACAGTTGCCGTAATTTTACCTATGAATATTAGTTACTAGAGAACATTAATTTCGCAAAATTCCTACAAGAACAGATGTGTATCACTTAACGTTTTAACGCACGTAAATAATATCAATAACATAGATATTAGCGTTGACACTGAATACATAAAAAGAAACAGGAATTGTGAGCCGCATTCTTGATACCGAATTTCGATATCTTCAAAAAGCAGAAAATGATTGCTAATTACCAAGTAAATAAGACTTCTGATGGTCACTAATCCACAACTAGTTGGTATGTCAAAACTTTTCCAAATCAACCAAAAATCATTCGTTCGCCTTTAATCACAGAATTTCAAACTTTTTTACTAAGAACAAGTATTGTATGCGAACAGGAAAACAAAAGTACAACTTTATCCAAACAATTACACGGAAACCAAAACTAACTCCTTCTTAAGCTTCCAACATTGATCTATTCATGATAAAATTTGTTAACACAGTGCTTAATATCATGTCTAAGAATGATTATCAACAACTCAAACCCGTAAATACATACAAACAAATTCAAATGGTACCTGATTTAACCTAAAGCACTCTCAGCGGATGGCAAACACAGCTCTATTCCGACTGAAACTGCTACAACATACGTATATACCCCCACCCGAGAGAACTTATTTTTAGTGTCAACCTTCAACTACGTAATTATATATAGACAAGTCATTAACTTTGTCTTGATTTTGTCAAAAACCAATACGCAAACCTTCACCATGATTGACTATATTTCGGGTTGTTGAAACACGGATTTTTTCAAAAAGCACCGGACTTCTTAACGGAGTTGAAGCAAACATACGAAACCGGAATTTCATGTATTACCGATTGCTATCAATTATAACCATAAATTTGCAAACGATTCGTTCAAATCGCATTAACCTTATTTGAATTGTATTTTCCAAGGCTGATAAACATAAAAACTGGTTAGGAATGTAGTTAATTGATTTCATTTTGAGGCGTATGTTGGCAAGACAATTTTAACCGTACTCACCTCGGAGCACGCGCTCCTCAGCACAACGATGAAAATCCCAAATACGTACGGTAGAATCATCACTGCAGGTAACGAATTTATTGTCGAATGGGCAAAAACTACAAATGATAAAAGACAGTATTTCATTAAGATTTTATTTCCTACACTTCCGATTTATAAGTAAAAACCTCTAGAGAAGATAAGAATGGCAGCTTAAGTGGCGTAAATCTTCAAAATGATGAAATCATTGTACACCCTGGTGATATTAAAACTGAGCTATTTATAAATACTTAACGTTAACAAACCACTTTTATTAACTCCATGAACGGAATGAGCACACTGAAACGACAATGAATTTATCAACTCAAAGTGGTGGACGGACGGGCATTCAATCCTAGTCATCTAAAAAACGACCACAAGCTTAAATTAATTGAATATTAATTCAGAGAACTTTCCTACGATCCATGGACTATATTCATATTTCGGAAATAACTTGGAAAGACCAATATATTCTAAAGGCGAACACATACAAAACCAGTGGCTTAAAGATATACATTCATAACTACCTGTTTGAATTGGTGTTGATAACTCTGGTAACAGCGTATAGTAAATAAATATACATGACGAAACTGACACCGTTCATCTAGAAAGTAGGGGTATAAGGGAAATTTCGGAATACGTCCAGACGGTTAGAGAGTAAAACGTCCAAAATTAGATCTATTACAAACTCTAATCTGGTATTTGGATGAAGAAACAAAACAGTATTATTGTCGATTCTTAAAAACCAAAATTTAGGAAAACCAAAGAAAACAAAACTTTAACCGGAAGGCCTAGTGACGAGGAGTCAGTTATATTCCGTAGATCAACATGATTTCTGAAATAATACTGTTTAGATAATTTATTTCTGTTTACACCACTAAAAAGATTGGGACTAATATGTTCGAAGTTGAGTGAGGCTCAAAAACCCTCGTATTTAAATTTCTACAAACGTATAATCAAATATTAGGTATTATAACATAAACGAGTTGATGTTGTTATATAAACGAGCCAAATATATAAAACAGAAGTTGCTCCTATATCGATTGCAAAACAAAAAGCTATTAATACGGTAAACGGTGGATGATTTATTCTGATGTATAGCGCAGTAATCATAAACAAAAGGTACAAATTAAGGCGTTAAAAACGGACTGTAGAAATATTAAGAGTAATACTGTACAGGAGATGGATTTCGATGAATTGGACAAAACACAAGACCGTTCCATTAATCGATGGTAAACAAATACTGGTTACCTATATCAGTCAGTTAGCTACGTTGGACAAGGCACATATATGCACCGATCCAAGTTGGCATACCGCATTAGCACATCAAGATGAACACCGGATTCATAGGAGTAGTCAAGTCGCTGGTAGTAATATATCCTGATAGTTAAAGTGAAAATACGATGAACCTACACTTCATTTAACTCCCTTATATGCTAAGCGTGCCTCACCAAAAATGAGTACTAACATATTTAGAAGCGCACAGCTATTGACCCGTGAAAGCAAGTAACTCAAACTATGACTATCATATATTCTTGTTTTCAACCTTGCAACGCTAAACTTTGACAGAATACTTAAACCGTAAACCAGCTTCTATACTACAACTTGAGTATACTGAACTCGTTTACAGCTCACTATTATAATTTTGACAGCCGGTTTAACAGATTCTAAGGAAATCACTGCACACAGTGGATACATTTAGACTGCACTGCCTTTATTATGATCCTAAAGAGATACATTCAAAGAAGATATTGGTAAATATCAGTTAACTAAGTTACTGGATCTGGTAATTACAGATGAGAAGACATTTCTGACAATCAACTAAACAACAGCTGCTATCGCGATAAATTTTACTCACAAAGCACTTAAGCCTATCAAGTAATACCATTCAGGAATATTTTAATATATTTGCCTGTTAAACATGAACCATTTTTAGCTCCAAGAAAATGTTTTAAGACACACGTATTTATGTCACTAAAACTCTTCTGCGTCTCGAAAAGCCAAGTGATAAAGTGAATAGATCTCTTACAATCCTAATAACTCAACCAACTTGTGTCTTAACACTCCCCAATTTTATCAAAATATCCCCGTAGAAGTAATATAAAACTGGAACTACCCAAGCTAGGAGCAATATATATAAGACCTTTATTAGGCCTACAATTTCACAACTGGTGTATTTTGTGCTTAAAAATAAACAGTACAATTTTGAAAACAAATCTAGACATTTGTTAAACGTCATAGTGTTATGTAGAGTTAAAGTTGTTGAAACTGAACAAGATGATTCCAAATCAGGAAAAGCGTACCTTACGCCACGAATTGGTTCCTTATGTGCTTGATACATTTCAACATTGTTCATATTAGCTTGCCAATACTTTACATATCCAGAATGATCAGCAGTGAGTAACCATTCTTCGTTGTGAGACCATTTCATACAACGGATTTGCGATTCATGGGCCTGTAGTAAAAAGTATAACTCAATAACTCACTACACAAATTTCACCGTAAAATTAAGAAATAAGGTGGCCTAATCAATAAGTAATGAAACGACACTTGTGGGAGAAATATTTGATTCAACTTTAACATTTTATAACGCCCGAAACAAATCTGTTAGAAATAACGGTAACTTAATTTATTTTCAAAGACAAGCCTAGTGCAAATACCAAACAGAACTACGCGCAAGGACCCTTCGGGAATGAAAGCTTCTAGAAGATACATTTGGGTTATACATAAAATACGTAACTTAATAAATATGTGGATATGCAATTCAGGTTATCACCCTAAGTAAGCATTTACACAGGAAAACGATACTACGATCTAATTGAAAGCTACTCAACATCTCTCCGAAAAAAGGTTTCTGACAGTGACGAAGAATTACCGTTATTTATCATAGTCAATCCATTCGAGTTGCATAGTATAAGCGCAGTCCGAGAACAAAACAGAGGTACTCTGATAAGTACAACCGGAAACACCCTCTACAAAAGAGGTTCGCCTTTTCAAAATGTTAACCTGAAATTCTTTAAGTGGTATTTTCTAATCATAAAATGAGATATGATAAACATGCTTGATAGGTCTTTCGGGCCAGAAGTGGAGCGTAAAAATACATGAAGATCACATCCTACGTGCAATTCTAAATACCGATGTTTTACTAGTCTCACAAAAAGATATTTCCGAGTAGAAATCTGGTTGGGACGGCAGGCCTTAGGTACTAATGACTTCCCACGGAATTTATACAAGTAGATCCCAAGTATATTAAATAAGAACCTACGTAGGAGGAAGCCGTCACACTTTTAGTCAGAGATAACAAGCGAAAACAAGGATAAAAGAAACATGATTTTAGTCCCGACTGCAACTGCTTACTGATACCAGTAGTAAAATTTTGTTAGAATAAAACATGAATGAATGAAGACTGAAGCTCATGGAATTATATATATAGGTACATCTGAACAAACTGATTTATACTGTCGTTCTTAGTAAATATACAAAAATAGAATGTCTGGCAGTTGCACAGCGATCATAAAAAAGAAGCGGCCTGCAATGGAATAGAGGAACTAGTAGTAGCAAATAAAGCATCTCCTGTTTACATGGTGGATATTCATCATAAGCACGAATCCGACGGATAAGTTAGTACCATGGGATCTTTCATGATACAAGGTTAACAAGAATGGTTTTCAAAAGATCGACTAAACATGTGATGAAAGGAATATTAGGACTGATCGGAGTGAAAAACAACCTAAGTTCTAGACATATTATGAACCTGAGACGGAGAGTATGTGACACGACTAGTCTTACATTTTATCTAAACAGTGAGTTGGGATTAGAGCGCAACCGGAACATTCAAATAACAATGAAACTGGGAGGCAATTGTGGGGACCACTGCACTGGAGACAAGGTGTGCAGTACTTATTCTTGTAAGCCGTTTATACACTGGAAAATGGAATAGAATAGGTGACATTAAGCATTAGTTTCTACAACTGAAGCAATGAAACACGTTCAATGACAGTGGAGATTCTAGCACCAAACTTAGTGTCCACATTGAGAATATAATAGTACACAGTGCCGTGGCGTATTGAGTTCGAACTAGCCCTGCCTTAACGGGCATGATGATTACTCAACAATGTTCACGAAAAGCTAACTGGTGATATCTATAAACTTGGTAACTGATTAAGGATTCATTCATGATCTAAACGACTACAAAACCAGGGCCTGTAAATCCGTCATAAACGCGAACAAATAAAATGCCTCACCTGTAAAATAGTCTCAAAATTGAACGTCAAACCGTTCCACAAAGTAAATTCACCACTGAAAGCTCCTGTTATCAACCGCCTCCCTTCAGGTGTCCACTACGAAAGTGAGAAAAATGTTTACTTACACAAACGCAATATATAGGACATTTATTCTTATTAGTAGATGTACGAACAGGCTTCGACATGACGCAATTCATGGGAGAATCCATGTAGCTCCTAGGAGGACACAACTGACAAGTAGGAAGAACACTACCTCACATTACCTTAGGACTCCACAAGTAATCCGGCTGAAGCATTGGACGGTCTATGTCCCTACTGACCCAAATTCTGTTTTGAAGGTAGTTGATAGCGGAAGCATTATAATCGATTGTTCGTCTGAAAACTGCTTTCCTTGATTTACGTGCATCTGCCATCAAGTCAGACACATCTTTCTTCAAAGCATTCGAGTCGCCAGAAGGAGAATCCAACATCCCAAGGTTTTCCAGCATCGATTCGACGAAGCCACCAGTCTATTAACGTGATTAGGACATGTAGTCGGATACGTAGTCCCCAAGGTGACAACGAACCCGCCAGGAAAAGCAATGACTGAAGTTAAACATAATACCACCAAGTTATCAAAGCTTTGCGAAAGTGTTAAATATATGCATTTCCTTCAGTATTCGATGCCAAAGATTGCACACAACGTGCTACATATCCTTCCCAACTAATATCCAGCTTAGATCAAACGCTTCTCAGCACATCGACAAACTTCCAACTATGTTTTCAATCTCATTCACCCCTAACTTCTGATTTGACTGTGTCAACATCCTTTGATTATAGACGTGTTACAGGAAAAAGCGTCGTCAAACCCTGAACATCCGTCGCATCGAAAGTACTGAATTCGACGTGAGCTGATACACCAAAAGATACAATATGTCTTTTCCCTACTGTAACACTATATACTTTTTTTCTACACATCGTTATGTTATTTTTGTGTCCTCGGATTAGCTCGTATGATCACAGCTTTTTATTACTGTTTCGAAACACACACTCAAGCCTTCAAACATTGAGACTCTTACGTCCCCAATTTTCAACTCATCCCACCCTACCTAGCCAATATTGCAGGCTGGTTCTGTCAACCAGAGGCTGATTTCCACGAGGACGTCGTGATAGACTCACTTTCGCAAATCCTTGCAGTGACGAAGGCACCAACTTCTCGCAAATACTAATGATCGTCTAGAGAGTCTCCGACTCACTGGTAGCAGACGGGAAACAGATCGCCACATACAGCAAAAGGCACCTTTACCTTCGCATGGGTCTGTAGTGGTATTGGATTCTAACCACACAATTCTTGAGGCCAAACAAATATTTACTGAGAGATTTCATATTCAGCAATCAATACAAAAGGAAGGTCAACAATGGTGAACGCGGGAACATTCATTCAATCGGATGGCATGGTTCAGCCTCGCAGACGTGGTCATTCTGTATAACTTGTCTTTATTCTCATTAAATATATCGTTCTATCTTCAGCCCAAATGAGTTCTTTAAAAATAATAGACGGTATATTGCTGACACGACGAGTCAGTGCAGATAATAATGGGACTTCTACGTAAGATCTTGTAGATTAGGTAGTCACATTATGACCAACCTACGCCTTTAGGATTAGGTCTAGAATTATCACAGTACTAATAGCAAACCAGACCACAATTCCACAGGCCCACTCGGCCCCATTATCAATGGGCTGGCGAGTTTCTATTGACAGTTGAAACTGAATTGCGCGTTTCACATGAAAACATTGACAAATCAACGTCATGCAGATGTAAAAATTATCGACTCGGTCAACGAATCATAGGTATCATCCTCTGCATATAAGGAAATTATTCTATAATCGGTTATGCTCGCACATCTAGACACGAAAACATACACTAATGCCCCCGTAGATAATTGGAATACAGTGTTTCCTGTCTTTCGTTATAAGGATACTAATGCTTGCAACGCATCCAAGGATGAACTATTATGCCACTCAAAGTCAAAGTTTATGGAGAATGTCTTAAATCAGTATATCTTCAGTAAAGATGCTACGTAGTTGACACTTTAAGAACTTACACAATGCTGAATACTCCGGGGCGTCTTATGAAGTACTCACTTAAGCTCATTTATAGCACGAATCTTGTTGAGCAGTACCCAGAACTTAGAGAAATAACATGGTAAATTGAACCGTTAGTACATTTTCTCATTACGACTAGTCACGTTCTATGGTTTGCTGACGGTTGAGGCGATTCAAGTGACCTCAATGTGAAATAACCCTAACCGTATGTCACACTTTTTCCGAATTTTCGCCAGTTATGCTGGCGACCATGATTATGCATATACCAGCTACTGACGAGAAATTCATCCTCAAAATAGTTCGTTCACCAACTTATATGTGGCTATGAACAGTTTCCGAACTGTTATAGCGTTAAGATCAGTGGCATTCAGCAAGAGTAAAGAAGGAGAGTTCATGATGGTGTAGACTGAAGACTTTTTTAAGCTGACTATGGTCCACAGAGGATGTCAGGCGTACGCAAGTAGGAACCAGTATCTTAAATAAATGTTGAAACCATAATAGTGGGAAGCATTTTGAAGTTTGAATATCCTGATGAAAGATGCCATTATTTCATGAAGTGTATTCACCATACTATTACCATCACTACTATTATTCACAAACAGCTCATCAGTGTTGTGAAGAAGCCACGTTGGGTTTCTTCAGAAATGCAGTAGTATAGCAGTAATGGAAGTGTTAATCCTCCTTCAATGAGATAACTTGCAACTACACACCCATCTCACTACAGTTTTCTGTCGTGAATCACTGTGTATCTATCATTTAAATGAGCGAATACGTCACATGAAGATGACCGGTTTGGCAGCCGCACATTTATCCAGTCTTAAACTACGTAGTCCCATGCCGTTCATCCCTGTTAGTTTCAAAATTCTGGCAACAGATATTTTGTTAAGTCCTGAAGGCTTAATTTTCTTCAAATAGATACCTATCATGAGCGCATTACTACACCTTTTATCAATAATGCGATTTCGTATAACCCACAATGAACCAAAGTGAAAATTGCTTGATTAATGTTCGACATATCTAGACAGATTACCTTTCAATTTAAAATGGTAATAAACCTAGGTGTGTAGTGACTCATGTTTATCACGAGAACACGACTGGTTTAATAAAAACAATTATTATTATAACCAACTGTACTAGTGTTTGTTTTAACGTGCTTTTGTTTGACTGTGCTAATGACAGCTATTTTGTGCTTCCATTCTTGTGCTTACACTTCGATTGTAACTTCGCGCGATTTCTGTTACCTTCTGTAACCAAGGTTGTATCCTGGCACGATCTCGGTATCCTTTCGATGCCACGAGATCGCCAGCAAATAAACATCGACTTGGTCCATTAATTGCCTTCTGGTATTTGGCTTCTCGGGGATTTTATGGAGTCATTTGGAACGAGCTTCTTACGCCTTCTGATTCGCTTGGCACGTGTTTCCTGGTAGCGGTGTTCATAGTTAACCTCAACTCGACGCCACGCTACAATTGATAATCCCAATTCGAATACAGGTGAAACTCTTATGTATATTGATATGACACTCCATACAATCCTTGAGACATTTTGCTGGAAATCTCTAAACTAATCAGCATCTCTGATTGTCTGTGAAATAGTGACTTATTATTTTTAGTTTGTAGACTTCTGAGAACACATGTTGTTATTACGCCCTAAAATAAATGAAACGTCCTTTTTCCATAACATACCGCTATGAACTGGGGATCTTTCGTTGGTAAGGTTACTAGATGTTAATACAGGGCACACGCCCTCATGACAGTTAGTTAGTTAGCCAGACTGAAAACGATGCGAAACAATCTAAAAGGTATTTGCTGTTGTTGGTTTCTCCGTTCGCAAGTTGGATGTACAGCTGAACCTTTATCTTGTTCTGCCTACTGTTGTTTATGGATCTATGGGGACTAAAGTTTGACCAGTTGACTGTTACTTTACGTTCCCGTGCTATGTTACCAAGGTTTACTGGATTCGTCTGATTAACGAACATGAGCGCTTAGTAGTTACATATCTAAACAAGAGAACGCTCGACATAAATGCATAGAGTAAGCTCTGCGAAGCATGATTTCCGTCTGTTAAGTCCAACAGATTATGTTAAACAACGTGTAAAATCTGGTACCGTCTTCTTAACTAGCTGTTACTTGACTCACAATACTATTTCATTATTATCACCTGTATAGCTGTCAAAAAGTTTGTCGACAATAGATCAACCTTAAAAGTTATGTGTTATGACGTGAAAATAATGCTGCTGATTAAGGGGTAGCGAATTATTGATCGGACCAAAGACTCACAAACACGTAGAATGATGGAGTTTGACTCCATTACCGGGCATGTTTCTGGAATAGAAAGTACTGGACCACTGGGCGCATCATGGATGACTGTTTCGTTTGAAGTACAGTTCATCGAGGATTCATGGAGACTGCTGTCATTTTCCAGCTCACTGTGTAATTGAGATATCGATCCATCCACTTCCGTCGCGTCTTCATAGCATGAGTGATTTAGCAGCTGCGTGCGGAATTTGACTAATAACTCCAAATGTCGTTCAAAGAGCAGCTGTAATCGATCGGAAGGGAGAGTCATTTTTTCAAATCAGCACCTGTGATGAAAATTACTGTATGACTAATGACCAATGTCGTTGAAGGACAGTGACGACAGCCTGGATGCTGATTGGTTGAATAATTAGACTGGACTTCGTCCAATTACTGAATGACTTCGGATTGTTTTTTTCTTCACCCCGTCGCCAATTGTTATAATGTGAAAAATAATGCGGATTAAGGGGGTAGCGAATTATTGATCGGACCAAAGACGCACAAACAAGTAGAACGACCTAGGGTTCTGATTGGCCTCGCTTCCCTGTCAAGCCCAGCCAGTTAAGTCCAGAACACAAGTCACAGCCTCGGATATATGAATCATTATATTTCAAACATACTTTGTTTATATACCAATCAAGCAGACCACAACGTACCATAAAATAGAAAATAACATTGTACAATAAGGGCCAGTAGGAAAATGACACGTTAAATAAATATTGACCAATAAGATGATACCATTTCATGTCCAAGGATAGCATTAGGCTTAACAGGATGATTTTTGGGATATTTTCCTGAATATCCCAACAGTATGCTTGACACAAACGTCTGCGAAAACCCCTATAGAGAGACATTCCTCCCAAACAGTCTACCACCAGAGGAAATAATGAAAGATTCCCTTTTGTTCACGCTTTGCTCTCTTCATTCACTTAAGTTCGCCTTCTTCCCCATATTCTTTTTAGATGTAGTGCGCTACCACATGCCAAATACAAAGCACAAATATTATTTATGTAGAGTCCTGAAGTAAAAAATTCGGCAACCCTCCACGGAACCAATGAATAAATCAATGACAATTTATCTTACTATAGCAAAAAGTAGGTATGGT